ATGTATGTCTAGTAATTCCTATTATACATTTGATATCTATCATGGATTACATATTGCAATATATGGAGTAATTCCTAGAAACATTCCTATAAAGTATATACTGTAACTATTATTAAAGAGTAAGGAGACATTAAATCTAATTCTTAAACTTTATAATTACTAACTATTATGTATACAGGATTTCTAGATTGTGATTATATAATTTGTTAGTTAGAACTTTAATGTTAAATATCAGAGTAAAGACACATTAACTACATGAAACATAATTATTAACTAATATGACCATTTATTAAATACTGTAGATAACCAATAAGTAGACTCTTGTCTAATTCCCAAAATGTGATTATCTAATTATTTAATCGTCCTCAATTATTTTTTTAATTTTTATTTTTTTTTCATCTACAATTATTAAATGTTCACTGAGATGAAAGAGACCTTAAATCTATGCGTGAGTATACAGAGATATCCTAATTTCTAGAAATTTTTCCTGTTCCATGTACGTGGAGTAATTGCTATTGTACTTTTGATATGTAGTGTGGGTTCTATGTTGTAACGGAGTAATTTCTATAAACATTGAGATGTATACTGCAATTACTATATATATGTTTATAGAAATATATATATATAAATAAATAGAAATATATATATTTATGTATTTCTATATATTTATCTATCTGTATACATAATGTCTAGAGTCATTCCTGTTTTGTATGTAGTTGTTGTTAGCATGAGAACTGGCCCACCCCTGACCGTCCAGCAGGTTTTCAGAGGCCGTGAATTGCACGGAGGAGATGATCCATCCTTCTCCCACGGTGCGCCTGCTGGCCTTGAACCGCGTGCCTTTGGGATGCCAGCTTCTTGCCGTGTGGCTACCAGAGCTCTGTGTTTCTACATAGTGTCTTTTATATGTATTATTTTTATATCTAGTATTAATATAGGTTTGAGCCCCGTCCTGTCTATGCTCTGTCCTCTCCCTTCCTGACCTCGAAGAGCCCATTGCAGCAGTTATCATGTTCCTTCCACCTGGTCGAGGGTCTTCCTCTCCTTCTCTGACCCTCCACCCTTCCCAGCATCATGTCCTCCTCCAAGGACCAGCCCTTCCAAGCAACGTGCACAAAGGAAGCAAAGCCTCACCCTCGTAGCCTGCAAGGTCCACTCCAACTGCAGCCTCTGCAACACCCCGTCTCTTTATTCTCCTGTCCGTCCATGCAACATTCGGTATTTTTCTCCAACAGTGCAAAGGCGTCCGTTCTTTGCCGGTCATCCTGAGTCATTGTCCAGCTCTCAGGTGCACAGCTGGTCATCGGAGGGACAGAATCCTACAACGGTGTCGTCCATCCTTTGCCCACGTCTCTGTTAAATGCTGCGGATTTCCCACTCTTTGAAGATCATCAGTGCGGAGAGATCGAGAGTGTCTTTCCCCCCATTTATTTAAGCTTTGCATTTCTTCCGGTGTTATTTTCCAGTTTTCTTCACATAAATGCTTTCTGTTTGCTGTCAGATCTGTCAAGAGTTCGTCGTTTGTTGGACGGAGATCAATGATGTGCATTTGTTTAGCTTTTTTGATTCTGTTTTGTTCACCCGGGAGACTCTCTGTCCATATTTCCTCTTTCCCTGTCTGGATGCCTTTTATTTCTCTTGCCTGATGTCCCCAAGTGTGTATCGTTATACAGAATCAAATACGAGTGACGGATCATCATACGGAGGGTGGGGAGAGGCTGGACCTTGCCAGTGGGGACTTGGAACCATGGTCACATCATGCGTCAGTGGTTTTCACATCATGGATTCACATGCTGCTCCGTGAAGTCCAGGCTCCACGCTGCAACACTCACACACTTGGAAACTGGAGGGAATATTGGCAAGGTGTTGGAATTCGCACCCAGAAGCAGATGATGTTATTACCTTCAGCACAGATTGTGTCCCCATATCCAGAAAACAAAGATTCTTATCACCGGCATAAAAGGTCATGACTTTTTTTTCAATCATGAGATTGAAACTTGTCCACAGCTTCGTCCTAATCGGATCTGCAATTAACACCCTGGGTACCGGCAGTCAGGAAATACGGAGACGTGTTGCACTGGGGAAAATCAGCAATTTGGGACCTCTCCAAAGTATTGAGGAGGACTGAGGTCACTTGGAGGGGTAAGGTGTGTCTGATTCAGTAATCTTTCCGATGACTAGCTATGTATTCAAGATCTGGACATATTAAGAACGACAGGAAAAGAAGGGTCTCTAGACGATGCATGTACTTTAAAAATAAAAAACTATTTTTGCCACAATGAATGAGTGGAAGTCCAAAATCTCTGTTACTTGATCATTGCAATGAAAAAAAAATTTTTTATTAGTGAAAAGAGTGTCAAATAATTAGTATGAAGTAGTATTTTAGAGTTTAGGATCTTTCCAGGTCATGGGGGAGCAATGATGTCAGTGTGAGGACTAAGGTGCGTCACCTTCAGGCCGTGGTTTTTCTTGTCACGTGCTTTTCATCTGAATAAGGACGATGGAAGAGGAATGGCTGTATTTGAGAGTTGTATTTTATCGTGCTGGGTGTACTTTATTACGGCGGTCAGCACCCAGACCTGTCTGTCCAGTGGATTTTCAGAGAGACTTGGATCATATGGGCAGAGATGGCCTGTCTGGGGTGATGAGATTTACAAAGTTATCAGACCCTTTGAGCCCTTGTTGGCACTGGATTTCAGTGTCCCTGCACCTGACGTGGAGCTGGGTTGCTGACAAGCGTTGAAAAATCAAAGCATTGGCCCAAGAAACTTGAGAGCTCCCCACGCCTCTTTGTAACACATTCGATAACTTTTCTGGTCCCATTGAGAGGGACCCAGGAAAATAAATAATTGGGGTGCCATGGTGACCCGGGGACGTGTCGCCCTTTTTTTAGGAACAGCCGGTCATCGAGGACGTGTTGGTGACATTCAGCCAGAGGGAATGGGCACTGCTCACGTGGGCCCAGAAGAAACTCTACAGCGATGTCATGTCTGAGACCTTCCGAAACCTGGACGCCGTTGGTAAGGACGGATACGCAGTAGCTGATGTCGAAATGCACCGTCGAGACTGGTATCTTTTCACTGTCCTCTGTCTTTGCACTAATGCCTCAATGGTAGGGGGTGGTTTTGGTCAATTGAGGGTCAAAGAGGGTCACTGTCCACCTCAAGGTGTGTAGTTTGAATCCCACAAGACAGCAAGAGTTCATCGAATCCCACAAGAAAGCAAGAGTTCCTCCAAGATCCTTTCTTGAAAGGATTCCCTCGGAATCGATGCTCTAAGCAGGAATCTTTGGGTCAAAAACACACCTTTCCGTGAAAATGTGCGTTTTTCTCTCTATCTGTATCTGTACAAAGCCCTCTGATGTTAACCCGACGATGTCTTTCTTCCTTTTTGGTTTTTTTTTTGTGTGTTGTTTTTTTTCTGTTGTTTCATCTTGGAACCCTCAGTCATCGAAACGGTGTGCAACGGGCAAAAATTATCGAGCCAACAGCCAGCCATGCTCTTCAGAAAGGCCAGGGACACCTCAGAGTCGTGTGGGAATGCGGACCCGCGTGCAAACCAGGCCCGACGTGTCAGGTGAGTTCACTCTGGCATTGACGGACGTGATTGACCTGTCAAGGTGTTTAAACACACACCTGGTAATGTACTTGTGCCACCTATTTCAGTCTTGACAGAAATCACACCTGGAAAGGAACGGTCCTGCATCGGAACCCAAGCCTGTTAAGTCACGTTGGAAACAGCGTTTACCAGCTAAAAGGCTCATTTTGCAAAAATACCGCCTGTTGACGGTGGAATTTTCTACAAAGCACTTTGAACTTTTATTTTTTTCCTGACTTTTATTGAAAATCCAATCATTGTGACACATTTTTGGGCCCCTCTCTTTTCCCCAGTCCAATTTGCAATGCAATCCTTGTTGGCAATTCGGGTCATACACAGAAAAAAACCTCATCTTAACATTCCTTTTAGACACTTTCTTCCCCTTCATTTCCCTCAAATGCAGTGTTTGTTAGTGATCCCATCTATCAATCTGTCCTGGCCTCTCTCGACCCCCTCCCCAGCTCAACCCTGGTTTTTAAGACCAGCGTTATGCAGTATTTGTCCTTTTCCGACAGAGGTACATCACTTATTAGAATGACCTCCAGACTCTGCCATGTCATTTCACAAAATCACTGGGTTTGCTGTGGGCTTTTTTCTCTCAATGCTCCAAAATAATATTCCCTTCTGTTGAACAAACCCTTCATTTTTCTGTCCATTTTGTTGATGGATCCTTGAGAGCCTTTAATACAGCAAATTGGCATGGATCTATCTCTTTTAACGTTTCACTGAATGATTCACAAGGGTCTTCTTCTGTTGAGCTTTCTTTAGAAGGCCCTTTTCAGAGAGCAGGCCGGTTCCTATTTCCTGTGATTGTGCAAAGAGCACCGTTTTCTAGCCATTTGTGCCTTGACTGTCTTTCTGAGAAGTCTTCTGAGGATGTGGGGGAGCATCTGGGACACAGTCTTGGACGGCATTTGCCGTCTTTGTGTATTAACGTTGCATGCTGGTCACTTAAAAATTGGTGGGTATCGGGAGTCGAGGTCCCTGTCGACGATGACTCTCATTTCTTGACTTCAATGTGGAATTTGGGGTTCGAGTTGATGCAAAATTAGGGGGTGTGTGACTATATAAGGCCTGTGAAAATGTGCCCTTAAAGGAATAAATGATTGCACTTGAGTTTAAGGCAAGCCTGGCTGCAAGGCTCACCACTCCCTCTTCCTCCCAATGTCTGTTCCCTTTTCTCTTGTCTTGCCAATATCTCCATCATAGACACCTTCCTGGGTGAAAAATAGAAAATTAAAGGTTCAAGACACCCTCACAGTCTGAATTGTGTCAGATTGACTTGTATGACTATGTCAGCCTTTTGTAAAAATCCCGTTAAGCCCTGCTGTCCCTGAGTTCAGTGTCAGAAACGTCACCATCTTACATGTCTTCTGTGTTGCTGTTTATTTTTAATTTATTTGCATGTCAGACGTCCAAAGCGTGGCCGTGACCGGTATCCAGAGACTCCACAGCGTGCCTGTGACCAGCGTCCAGTGACCCCTCCGGCCGCCCGCCTGGGACGTGACACTTGGCAGAACAGACAGGAGACTCGGACACCTGCGGACGAGAAGGAAGGTTCCTGCAAGGCCACGTCCCTGGGCCCCCAGGTGAGTCCTGGCTGCAAAGAGGCCCCCGCGTGCCACGCCGGTGCCAAGCCATCCTTGTGTCCGTCTGCCGCCCAGCGAGCTGGGAAGTGCCACCGCTGCGACCAGTGCGGCAAGGCCTTCGCCTACCCGTCGCTGCTGGCCGCCCACGTGCGCACGCACACGGGCGAGTGGCTCTACCCGTGTCCGCACTGCCCCAAGGGCTTCGGGCAGCAGTCGGCGCTGGCCGTGCACCTGCGCACGCACACGGGAGAGCGGCCTTACAAGTGTGCGCACTGCGGCAAGGGCTTCGCCCAGCAGTCCACGCTGGCCGCCCACGTGCGCACGCACACGGGCGAGAGGCCGCACAGGTGCGCGTCCTGTGGCCGCGGCTTCGCCCAGCACTCGTCCCTGCGGCGCCACCAGCGCGTGCACACGGGCGAGCGGCCGTACCCCTGCGGCGAGTGCGGCAGCGCCTTCAGCTGCTCGGCCTCGCTCACCCTGCACATGCGCACCCACACCGGCGAGCGGCCCTACAAGTGCAAGCAGTGCGGCAAGGGCTTCACCTACGGCTCCGTCTTCACCAAGCACATGCGCATCCACAGCGGGGAGAGGCCCTACACCTGCGCCAGGTGCGACAAGGGCTTCTACCAGCAGTCGCACCTGGACGCACACGTGCGCATCCACACCGGCGAGAGGCCCTACGCCTGTGCGCGCTGCGGACGCGGCTTCAGTGAGAACTCCAGCCTCAGGAAGCACATGGCCACGCACGCCAGGCAGCGTCCGGCGCCCAAGGCCTCCTAACGCGCGCTGTCCCACCATGACCTCGTGGACACCTGGGAAACAACCTGCACGCCCGGCAGGGCAGGACGACGTTCAGCAAGCACGTCACGACACGGGTGTGCACGCGTACACAGACACACAGACGCACGCAGGGCGACACACCACCAGGGACTCAGCGCACAGGCTGTCCTGACGGGTCTGGCTGGACGGAGCAGCAGCGGACACGGGTCTGCTGGACGCCAACGAGAATTGGCTTCCCTGCCCGCCACCGGAGGGATCCGCTGTCCATGTGGGCTTGACGCCGTGGGCGAGTCCACATCCACGTCAGGGAGAGGGGTGCACTGCGGTCACCCACCCGCAAATGGTCAGGGAGACAGGTTCACTGTGGTCACTCACCCGCAAACGGTCAGAGAGACGGGTGCACCGCTGTCACCCACCCGCAAACGGTCAGAGAGACGGGTGCACCGCGGTCACCCACCCACAAATGGGTCAGGGAGACGGGTGCACCGCGGTCACCCACCTGCAAACGGTCAGAGAGACGGGTGCACCGCGGTCACCCACCTGCAAACGGTTAGAGAGACGGGTGCACCGTGGTCACCCACCTGCAAACGGTCAGAGAGATGGGTGCACTGCGGTCACCTACCCGCAAACGGTCAGAGAGACGGGTGCAC